TTCTCATGAATGTCTGAAAAGCAAATGAGTGACCAATGATATTGATTTTTTAAAGTGTGATTTACGTATCTAAGGGAACACAATTTGGCTGTTATGATGCTTCTGACTGAGGGTTACACTTGTTAACCCTGACCACCAGGGGGCGCGTGACTAAACAGCCCCAAAAGAGCACTCTGAATAAGATGTTTCCATTTTCACTTTTTTTTTAATGAGTTTAAATTATTATTTTTGAAGAACTGTTAATTATACTTTGATTGTTTCACTGCTTTATGTGTTTGCTCTTGTTTTCTTTTTGTGAAATTATAGCTTTGTGATTTTGGTATAGAAAAAGGGGATTCATGCATGAGTGGAAGACAATCAAATGTCAGTTTGTTGTTTGTTTGTTTTTGTTTTTTTCTACCTTTGGCACAAGGAACCAGCCAGGGATCTATCTTTCTGGATGGAATTGGTTGTAGATGTTGAGCAGGAACCATTTTTCAGCTGAAGGTCTGTAGGGAGTGAGGGGTCTATGGGACAGGGTGTATTGAGGTTTCCAGTCACCTGTTTGACCAGAGGGGGGCGCTGTACCCTCACCAATGCTTTGACAGGGGCGAGTCAAAGAGAGGCACACACAAGCTTCCTTGCCATTATTTTATCACACAGTCCTTGGATAAGAGATGTACTGGTTTAAATGAAACCTTATATGATATATTTCAAAATGTGAATTTTTTTTCCTGCAATTTTTCACCCAATTTATAACAGATTTCACTGTTTTATTTATAATCAGCTAAAATCACTTCACTATTGCATTTTTGCTTCAAAAGATTGTCAAACAGTTTGACAGATTAAACCAATACAATGCCTTCACTACACAGATAGTAAATTTTGTCAGTGTATGGTGATTGATGTATATATTGATGTATGAGATTATTCAGTTGAGCTCCAAAGTGAACAATGTTGTGAGAAAGCCTCACGGGCATCTAACTGTCACCAGCTTTCCCAGCTCACACTGAGATTAATCAAGATAACCAGAGTCTGAGTGTAAATCACTGACATATGATCAAAGAATAAGTCACAGTGAAGTTCACAATTATGTGAGGATCATTGCCCGCCAGACAAGCCACAGATCACAAACCCTGAAGACTTGTGTGTATATGTTTGTTTTTGTCTCTCTGGTCTTACTGTCTCTCATGTCTCTGATCAACATTTGTCACCCTGTTTTTTTTTTTTTTTTTTTGCACTTTTTGTTTGTCTTTTTCTCCCGGTCGTGGTCCTCAGGAACATCAAACAGCGCTAGAGAAGGAAACAAGTTTGTATGTGTCTGCCTATGTGTGTGTGTGAACGTGTTTTTTATTATGATTATTTTATTGTCTCATTGCACAGGCAGCAGCTCTCAGCTTGTGCAGAGTGTGTAGGGGAGGTCTGTGAGGTGTGCTGTGTGTGTGAGACACACACACTGATGTCCTCTTGTCCACTGAAGGTTAGCTGTATACATCATGCATTTCAAGAAAATGAGACAAAAGCAGTGCTGCAAATGGAAAAATCATTATTAATAAAAACTATTTAAATTGTTCACTTGGGTCCTGATTGTTGTGCCACTTTTTCTACAGTATGATTTACACCAGACTGCTGTGCTCAGCTCATCCACAGATTCTTTGTGTTTTTATGCTGAACCGTTTTCAGCATGAACAACAAGGCCATTTATCATGAAGGTCTGTGTTTTATCGTTGCAACAAACCTGTAAGAGAATTCCTATTCCTATTCCCTAGTAACTATTCAATTCTATTCACTGTCCCTTTTGACAGTCCAACAAGTAAACCATTCCTATTACATCATACATCATAGGATCTGATCTACACGTGTTTTATTTACTGCTGTAACAAATTGACTTGCACTTGTATTTCAGGTGCACCAGAGAGGAGTTCACTATCTTGTAAGAAAAACAGATTCCTTCACTACTGTTGGAGATGATCATTGTTATAACAAGATCATTAATTTACCACTGCATGAAAAAATGTTCCTTGGAATTTAGAGGAAACCAAAATTTAATTTGACCCACAACAACCTCTGAAAGGCTCAACAGTGAGTTCTTGTGTCCTGCAAACTCACCTCCCTCCAAACCCACTTTGAACATTGATCGTATGTTCTGTATATCCATTTACTCTCCTCACTGTTGGCCTATTTTCAACATTTACACAGCCCACAACATCCGTTACAGCCACAGTGTCGATTTTAGCAATGTCAAGCTACTCCCCAGCAAGGCTCTGAATTAGAAATGTGATTTTAGCCTAATCTATACAATGGTTAACTGGTATACTTCTTAAAGTATACTTTTTGTGTGAAAACTGGCAGCCAAGCTATAGTATAACGTTTTCTTGGAAAGAAATCACTTTCAATAAGAGAACACAATTCCTACCAAGACAGAAATATTGAAACTGCAACCAAGAAAGCAGAGTCAAAATGAACCTGTGAGACTCATTTATGGAGTAGTTTCCCTTGTCGAGACATGAATATAACCATGACCAGCATTTTGTACTTTAGCCAAGACTGATACTGAAAGATGCTGTGTCTTGTACATGTCTCTATCTGTTAGCTGAGGTGGAAAAAAAAACTATATTTAGGTACAGACCTGAGGTACTTGTACTTGGAGTTTTTCCATTTTCCACCACTTCATAGCCTTTACACTTTAAGTACGTTTTGTACAACAGTCTGTTATTTTGTACTAAATGGAGACAGTAAATGATCTGAATACTTCTTCCACCATTATCTGTTAGTGTCTTTAAAACATTTCCAGCATTATTAAATGTATAGAAGCTGCTTCTTCTTTTTGTATGCTGTATGTGTCATTGTGGGACAAGGTCTTGTGAACCTGTGTGTGTGAGCTTGTGACGACACCACATGAGCCTCAGCTGATGCTAATAAACCACAAGCAGAATATATTCCTGAACCTATGGGAACTGAAGTCTAAATCTGGGTTGTTTTGGAGCCACACATCCTCAACACTTGGCCACTGTTCCCTGATCCTCAGCGATGATTGGCTGACAACCAGGTGGGTGGATCAGGAGAAAAACAAACATTGCCACAGGCTTTGCCACTCTGTACCTGTCTGTTGACAACCCACAGTTCACTTAAAGGCTCAGGTCAGACAACCTCTCTCAACTTTTCAGCCCATCTCACTGATTTGCTTCTCCTGAGCAGTCATGAGGACCACGGTGGTCGCTGTTGTCATGGTGATGTTGTGCGTGATGATGGTGCACGCAGACGTGAAGCCGCAGAGAGATTTCAACCTGCAGAGGGTAAGATGGACACACACATTCTGCTTTTGATGTTTGCTGTTCAGCATGAATGTATCTAACTCAGTTTGGTTGTGTGTGTGTGTGTGTGTGTGTTTGTGTGTAGTCAAAGTTTCTCAGTTGGTGACCCAAGACAAACAGTTGTGGGTTTAAGTCCTGCCTCAGCGCTGACAGTCAAGTCACAAACTGTTATGATTAATAAATTTGTGAATCCTTGTTTTTCTGGTTTCGTCACACACCAGAGGTTGAGAGAGGTCAGTTCGACATTTCCCATGGCAGATGTGCCATGAGAAATGTCCGGAAAAGGAACATCCTCAGTTGTTTCCTGTGGGTGATTTGATAGGCAACTGGATGTATCCCAGAAGCATTTTAATAATCTTTATGGTGAGGTTTTTCCAGATTTATCAACCAGTGAATCTGGTGTGAGTTCATGTAAAGCGTAGGACAAGACCCAACCTGAAATTCTCGCATGCCTACTCTTCAAACCTAAAGCAGTTCAAAGGATACACGGCAGCTGATGTTTGTTCCTTACATAAAGCAACATGCTGACTCTGTCTGGTTAGTTAAATACAGGATGTTCAATCAACATTAACAACCAGTCTGTGTTTTAAAGGATCTATGTATAGATATGAGGGAATACAGTGGTTTACAGCAATGTTTGCATCATGGTTCCAGTACAGCTTGTTTTCCCACTGGGGCTGTTAATGCTAAAAATGTCAACTCTAAAAATGTACATATGTATACATACATACATAAACATACAGCCTCAACATGGCAGATGTTCCATTAAGGAAGAAGTCTAGTGATATTCTATATTCTTTTATTATCAACAAATCTCATAAAAAGACCAAAAATAATAATGAATTGATGCTATCAAATCCACAGCTGAAAATAGTCCCTGCACACTAATCACTGCTGCTGAGCAACCTTAATTTAAAAACTTCAGCTGTTTTCAAAAGTGAAACTATATACTTTGACAGATTTACATTTTCAATGTAAATCAATAGGCTTAGGGCTGAGAACCACATACAGGGTGAGGAAGTCAGAAAGTACAGTTCTGATGTTTTATGCTGTTATGTTTTTTTTGTTTTTTTTTTATAGAATCAGACGTTTAGACTTGTCAGAGCATGAAAAGTAAAGGTGTAACCTGTGCATGAATGATAGCTGTTGGTTAAAGTCAAATATAGAGTCAAACACAGTCAACAGATTTTTAATTTGTAAATTGAAATTTGTGTGCCTATGTGTGTGTTTAGTTTGCAGGGAGATGGTACCGTGTGGGCCTGGCCTATGACTCTCCAAGTTTTGTTCCCTACAGAGACAAACTGAAGGCCTCAATGGGCATCATCACACCGCTGACGAACGGCAACGTTAACCTCACAATGTGGGAAGCCACGTGAGTGTGTGTGTGTGTGTGTGTGTGTGTGTGTGTGTGTGTGTGTGTGTGTGTGTATGTGTGTGTGTGTGTGTGTGTGTGTGTGTGTGTGTGTGTGACATATATAAGCACAGTATAGACAGGGTCATATACAGCATAGTCCATTTTTGTGTACATCAGAAGTAGATGTGCTTGTCAAAGAAGAGAGGAAATCAGGAGAGAGAGATGGATGAATGGACAGGTTTGGAGAAGATAAAGACACATTGTGTTTCCTCTGTCTGCTTCAGACCTCTGGGCTGTCACAGTAAGCTGTACCAGTATGAGAAGACTAACGTCCCGGGACAGTTCACCTACTTCAGCTCACGTAAGTCTCTGCTCACTTCTCATCTGACTCATCAGCTTTCCAACAGATAACAAGGTTTCTGCTTTGAACCTGAGAAAAAGACAAGATAAATGATATTAAGTAAGTTTTGTGACTGTTACATGACAATGTAAATATTTGACTGGCACTCAGTGGGTGCCAACAGCAGTGGCTGAAATTCTGAATCACTTCAGTTCGAGGAAACAACCACAGATGTAAGTCATGAGGCCTGAGCAAGTCAAAACAAGTTCTTCAAAACTGCATTTTGTCACATTGTTGTGCGAGAAGTATGAGAACAGAAGTGAAAGCAAAGCAGAAATGTATTAGTTTTGTCTTGTGTCTCTTTTCACACAAAAATGAAAAAACCTGTTTTTACAATTTTGTTTTTGTTAAAGTTTTGGTGATGCACTCGAGTGTGTTTTTACGCAAGAACTGTAGCACTTTGAGATTTTCCATTTAAAAATAAAAAAGTATTACGATTGACACATTGTTTGTATTTGTGTTCTGTCTAACATTGTAGAAGATCATCATCATCTTGATATATTTCCAATACACACATTTAATATTTAATTTCTTTCATGTTTTTTCTTTTTTCTCTCATTTTGTGCAGCATATATTGTATCGTATTGTGTTGTAAATATTTATAGCGCATTTTTGTATTTTGTATTTTCATACATATACGGTACATTTTCAATTCTTCTATGTTGTGTTTTCTGTCAGGCCACAACATGGTGAAGGACATCACAGTGGTGGACACAAACTACACCGAATATGCTCTGGTTCTCAAACACAAGGTTTTTAACAGCGAGTACACACAAGTGGCACTTTACGGTGAGACACACACACACAAATACATGTCCACACACACACACACACACACACACACACACACACACACACACACACACACACACACACACACCAGAGTCAGTACTGTTCATGTGTCTCTGTACTTGCAGGTCGCTCTCAAAGAGTTAGGACTGAAGTAATCAGCAAGTTTAAAGCCTTAGCCTTGTCCCGCGGTTTCTCCAGAGAGTCTATTCTGACTCCACCTCCAGCAGGTAAAGTAGGGGGTGACACACACATACACAGTATATGTACATGCAGATTAAATGAGCATGAAGTTTCCTAATTCTTGTTTGTGTGTTTTTTTCTGGCCAACAGAAAACTGCCCACAATCTGGATCTGGTTAGGTGGGTCTATTTCTTTAGGAACATCTGAAAACCAAGGACGTTTCATTAATGATAGTCAGGGGTGTGTGACAAATGTGTGTGTAAATTAGTGTAAATTATTTTCTGTTTCTTCCTCTATGTTCCCAGATGTACCTGCGGTGAGGGTGCCAGTGCGTTCTGATGTGCGGCTCCAGCTCTGTATTTCCCAGCATTTACTGCAAAGAGCTTTCTCTCAGCAAAGCAAATATCATCATTCTATTATAACATCTAATCCTATTTTATGTAATGTTTCATTTTCATTGTTCTGCTGTGTTGGCATGGTTTAATAAATAAAACTAACCTTCAGGTCATGATTATACTGTTTTTGTTTGTTTGTAATCACAACACATTTTAGCTGGTTTTGGCCTTTGGACAAAAAAATCTGTTGAATTTATTCTGAGTTTTCTAAATGTTAGTCACTTTCCCATGGTGGAGAGTAATTTACTCAGGTATTGTTCTACAACTTTCAACATTAAAGAGATCTGCATATTAATGCATCAATAATTATAATCCAAAAACATAATAAGCATGACTCTGAAATTGGCCATTCTGCATAATGAGTACTTTTACTTTTGGTCCATTAAGTATATTTTGATGTTAGTGCTGTAGTACTTTTACTTAAGTAAAAAAAAAGTTTTAATTCATGACTGTGTACACAGACAGATGTACCAAGTCTGTGGCATTTTAGTTTAACATTAAAAAAAGTTAATTTTGATGTTAGTGCTGTAGTACTTTTACTTAAGTAAAAAAAAGTTTTAATTCATGACTGTGTACACAGACAGATGTACCAAGTCTGTGGCATTTTAGTTTAACATTAAAAAAAAGTCCTTGTTAATGTGGGTGTGAAATGTGTGGACAAGAATGCACAATTAGATTACAACAAACAAACAAAAAAGGACGAGAGAGTGAAAGAAGCTGAGAAACATACTGGCAATATGGTGGAAGAATCGTCCTGGAGTGTTGTCAAAGCATAATCTGTGAACGTCTGCTTACATGAGTCATTCCTACACACACACATGCACAGGTTACACTGAGTTTAACAACATTTTCAGATTGTGTGTGCGCTGGGTGTGGATGTGAGTCTGACCTGAAACTAGTGGCCGTCATGGTGAAGTTGCTCTCAGAACAACATGTTGTAGCTCCAGTGCAACAATATGGGGTTTCCCCTCTTGCGCTTCATGTAGTGAGGACAGGTAGAAACCACTGCCATGCCTGTACCACTGCCCCATGAACTGCAAGGTGAATGCAAATATTCACTGCACATTAGAAAGAAATACAATATTATAGAAACCATTAGCCATATGGAAGGGTATGCGCCCATGACAGCATTCTGTTAAGGACAGTGCTATTGTTACAGTTTATACTTGTACTCTAATGTGCCAACTGGACAAGTGTAAATATATATACATATT